AAGCCCGTTTTTCTAAATTCATTTTTTCCAAGCTGAATTTTAAATGAAAAATTTCCCAAGCAATGCTGAGCAGCTTCCATTTAGCCATTTCTCCTATTTTTAAAAAATGAGCATTGTGGGAGCCTAATTGTTTGATTAAATACAATAAATGCAGACTGACTTGTGCTTAAAACTACCCTGTAGCCTAACTGTAAACATCTGCCTTTGTTTGGTCTTTGCACTGTAGTTGTTAGTGCAACAGTATTATTAGAATGTATTTGCATGTTAAAGAGGTGGGTTAGAGTCACAGTCCAAGGGAAATTATATCTTGAAATTGCCTTAAGAGCAGGGCTTTGTTTTCTTGCTGAAACAAGCCATTATACAGCTGCTGTTGCAGGAGGTTGGAGCCCATTGGGGTGGATGTTCGATCCATTATTCATGACTTTAGCAGAGCCGGGTTATGGTGGGAGGGGGAAACCATTCTTTACCATCCAAAGAAAAAGCCAGCGAACTAGTGAGAACTGCCCTGAGTGAAAGACACAGAGGAACTTAAAAAGATAACACAATGCTTTATGGAGCGAACACCCAGCACAAATCAAAGGATTACTATGGCAACAAATGGGAACCAGTGGGAAAAACGGTAAATAATTTTTCATCTGGTGAGTTTTATCCTTTTTACCAATGGAATATCCGTAAACAAAAGGCAACTTCCTTAAGCAGTCTCCTCCTGTTCACTCAGAAACGAGAAGACATTCTAGAGAAGAAAAATTTCACTCTTTCAAATGACCAAATATAGTTTGTTGCAGCATTTGATACCTGATGCTCTAAAACAGAGCTGTGTCTCCTAGCTCTGATTGTTCCTTCAGAGGGTATCAGTTCTGCCCTTACCTGAGTACGTATATATCACCAAACGCAAAAGCGCGCATCTTTGCATTTCAGCTTTGGATTATTTTCACACTTGGCTTTTGAAGACTTACACATTTTTCCATGTATAGAAAAACACCACAAACTCTCTGACACTCCCAGGTTATGGGAAAAGAACCACTGAAGTGAATTCATTAAAAGGAACAAGTTGTCACCAGAGAATTAAAATAAAAGCAGATAGACTAGAGAAGGTGAGAGCATGTCTTAAACAGCAAGTCTTCCACAAGGTCTAGTAGTAAGTCGGAAAAGTTCACACTGAAGTATCATTTCTTCTGGGCTGTTCTTCATCTGTTTATCCATTTTCCTTACCGAATATCAAATATCTCTATTACTGTAAATTAATACCTGGGTAAAGTGTGAACCAGCCAGGTACACTGATGTGCAAGTTAGGTAAGTCACTTTACGACCTGCTTTGAATCAAAGCTTCTGTGTGGATCCATTCTGGACATGGGAGGAGAATTTCTGTCTGTATTTTGAATATTCTATTTTCAGCTGGTTTTGGAGTATCTCTGCTTCTTCTGTGTAATTTTCGTAATCCCACATGAGAACTTTTCAGCTGGTTGGCTTTCGCAGCAGCTCCCAGCCATATGTTGAAAATTTACACATCCTTTTCTCTTGCCCTGATTTAAGATTTTGTTTTCCTAGAAAGGAAACAGTGAATGTTTTGTACGTTGTGACTTTTCTTTCTTCTAGAAGAAAAAAAGCAACAAAAAACCCAACAAATGGGGACCACATAGAAAGTTATATCTCTTAGTGTCCACTATTCCTCCAGTGAGAAGTTGTGGGAAGAAGAAAGACAAACTGGTGCTGACAGTATTCCTTCCCACCAAGATTAGGGGCAGCAAGAATAATTTACTTTGAAGAATTGTATTCTTTCTTGCTATGCAAGATTCCGTAAGGGCTGACAATATAATGGCTTAAAAGACCCTTTATGATGTAAATCTGGATATCGTAGTCCTGACTGAACTCCGTGAGACTTTGTAGACTATCCATACAATGAGATGGATTTTTAAAGTCTTGGAGCAAAGTTTTCTGTGTTTTCCCAAAATCAGAGACTCTCCATATAAGCACAGACAAATAACCACACAACTGGCTATTGTACACTAGCAAACGGAATACACGTCATTTGTTTTTTCAGGGATGAGGAGAAGAGTGCATCTTCAGAAGCAGCTCCTGAGAATTCAGTTAGATGTGTATCGCATGTAAAAAGTAATACAAAAGGCACCGGAGGTTTCTCTCTGGTCTGGTTGATTGTATGCATGCAATAGTCAGCCATCACATGTGAAAAAGTAGTTTTTAGACTGTGGTTAAATGCAAGGTCCAAATATCAAAGCATTATAACATAGCATTAGACGAGCAACATAAAATGTTAATCTTTTGGCTTCCATGGAATTGCATATAAATGCTGGAGAAGATTTTTCTGCCCTGCCTCCTCAGGCCTTATTTTATTCCACCCCTCCTGAAAAAAGAAAAAAGGCTAAAAAGAAAGATTCCATGAAATTTGGTGTTCACGGTTGTTGCATATAAACTGATTAAGTATGCAGGAAAATTGAGATTGCAATTAACTACAGTAAAATGGAGAAAACAGACAAGAAAAACCCAGTCGTACCTCACAGTGCATGGCAATCATGTCAAAACAAGTCATGGCAGAAATGCGGGATTGTGTGAGCTGGAAAGTGACCTGAAAAGCCTTCAACACGCTGAGAGGGGCAGAAAGAGGTTAGTGCAACGAGGGAGAGGTGGTGAAGCCCCCAAAGTATGGATGACTTTTCTCTACATGTCCTCTTGAGGTAAAGACATCAGCATGGGTTAGCTTGTTCTGGAGTGACAACAGGTGAGAGAAAAGGACTCAGCAAAAGGATTTGGCACTGCCTCTCCAAGTGGATGGGAGTGGAAGTGGATCTGGAAATGCAGAAATTGGCATTTGTAGGAAACTGTCTGGAGGTATCAAGCTGTGGATGAAGTGCAGCTGCTTCTGTGGCGCTGTGATGGAGTAGCACTGGCTTGTGGTTCCCGTTGTAGTGTGTTTGTGTGTCTTCTTGTAGTGAGTTTGTGTCTGTTCCTGTGCTGTCAGTATGTGGTGTGGTGGCCGTCACATTCGGGGTGTTTTTCTGTTCCTCCTACGGCGCGTTCGTTAATGTGAACAAAGGAAACAAAGAATGGAAGTTAACAGGTTATCAACTTTTGCGTCCATTTTGTAGCAGTGTTGTTTTCCAAAACAAAACAAAACCACAGTTGTGCCACAGACTACACCCTGCTGATTTTATGGTAAGGGCCTGATTTCCACATATAAACGTATAGACATCCATTGGTGCAATATCAGGTACCTGAACGGCATATGAAAATATCACGTGATACGTTTCCACATATTCTTAATTCATGATCCGGATGGTTAACAGCAATCTATTAAGTGCTTACGCAGCCGTATCTCCCTTGATCTGAGCAGTACGAATCCCAGTGCTTCTGGTAGAAATCACATTATATGAAATTATGGATATGAAGAGTCATCAGGTTGCACTGGAAGGCAAGAGGTGTGCAGCTCTGCATTCATGCATTAACTGCTTTTCAACACGTTTACTTTACCGCTTATAAAAATCTATCATCCTTGAAGAGGCAAAGCAATTGTAAAAAGATTTGCACTGTCTAGTGTGCATGTAATAATCTGTCTTTATGATTTATTTAATATCTTCTTAGTATTTCCAACAGTTAGCACATAATCCCAGCGCCCAAGTTTCCTGAAACTTGGCTTTGCATGGGCTGCATGCTTATGGAAAAATTGCATGAGTTAATCATTTTCTTGCCCTCATTTTGAAGACATAAGGTGTTGTCAGCTTGTACTTAACTGTGTGATTCCCATTAATACTAGTCTGAAATAGAACAAATGATCTTTTTAGCAAATCATTGCGGATTGGAAAACACAAGTGTGGAGTGAATAGTGAAAAATTCAAACCTTACCTTCCTGGTAACTTTTGCTGCTCTGATTTAGCTTCCAGTTTCAGGAATCCCAAGACCAATAATATGTCTAACTATCTAAATGTGTAATTGTATGACTGTAAGGAGAGTCATATTAAGATCAGTTATGCTTCCTATATATTTTAAATTAACAAAGTATGCATTTTTTCCATTTCTGGAGGCACATAAGATGTTTTTAAGTGATTATTGCCAACAGAAAAGCGTTGCCATGTTGTATCCGTTTTCACCAGATTGACTTCTCATGATTTTGGCTGATTTTGAATTCATAAAAAGAAGAAACACACTTTTTTTAAAATTACACTTGAATTAACTAGGTACATAGGTTCTTCTTTGCCATGTTCCTAAAGAAGCCTCATCAGAATGGAAGAATGCAGAAATTTCTAATTAAAGTAATTTTTCCTTTATTGGATGAGAAAATTAAACTGATGATTTACAAATGATTGTGCAAAACTGGCAAATCCCATTGCAAGCAGTTCTTTGTAAATTCTTTGTGAGACCAAATTTTGGCCTTGTGCAATACAAAATATCTGCAGGCAGATCAAGGCGTAAGACAGAATCAATAAGGCAGGTAATGTGCTCTTGCTCACTTTACGTGTAGCTTTCAGAGGGCTGAAAGTGTCTTTTTCTCAGATACAAAACAGACATGCGCAAGTCAATAAGAAAATCAAGTAAAGAAGGAACTGACAGGGCCCGGAATGTATATGTAGGGTGATTTTCGTTGTTCAGCAGAGTATGGTCCTGCGAGTGGTTTATGGGATACTTCCATCTGCCTTGTGCTCTTTTTCCCTGGAGGAGCTCCTGTTCCAGTGACAAATATTTTTTGTCCCAGCAAGGGCTGGAACAGCGGCAGCAGCTGGTTTTTGCTCTCAGGAAGCGGGAGGCGTGCTCGGGGAGAGGAGACGGGTGCTGGGGCTGATGCCGGAGGGAAAATGGCAACGCAGCCCCCGAGAGCGGTCCCACGACCTGCGTTACATCCTTGCAGCTGCGGAGGTTGGAGCACGCTGGATGTCGGCCAGCAGAGAATTTGGGATTATGCCTTGAAGCCTAAAGCAATCCCTTCCTTAAATCCGTCTGGGAAGTCGGAGTTTGGTGCTGTAGTGTTTTCTGTGGTCACACAGGTGAAGAGGACAGCATCTGGCCAAGCATCACTTTTGTATAGACAAATCAGTTTTAGCTTCAATGTGAGGGACACAAAATGAAGTGCATAGAAAGGTCTGATTGGGAATGCAAGTGCATGCCACATGATTAATTAACATAGTATAAATAATGAAGTCTGTGACTACCATTTTGGGTCTTTATTTTTGGATTAAGTAGCTTTCAGAAGTAAAGTGGATGGGATGCCAAACTTCATGAGAACATAAAATTGAAAGTATTAAGGTTAAAATAGTGTTGGACCTGAAAGGGGAGGTACTTAAGCATTTTGGTCAGATCTCCGGCTCACACAGCTTATCACCGTGACATTCGCGGAGTAATTATTTTGAGTAGAAATCACAGAATGAAGTCGACTTGTGTAGAGAGCTGTCCTGTATCTGAAGAAAGGGACCTTATGTGCTTAGTTGGTTTAATAAATGCTATCCCATTAACTGCCTAATTGGAAGTGTTGCCAATGACTAAATAATTAGGTTCAATACATGTGCATTAGATGCATCTTCTGCAGAGATGTTAAAATTTTATAGCTTTGACTGTCATAAAGAAATACGCCACCAAATATGTAATCCTGTGAATAGGATCTCATCTGGCAAACGTCACTGATGGTGCGCTGTCTCAGCTACTCAAGTGCAAACCCAGAGCAGAGGCCTGAAGGGAATATCCAACACGCATCATCAGCATCCCGGCTTTAGTTTTCAGAAGCCACACAGGAAATTCCCACACATATTTAGGGCATTGCTATTTATTTGCACACTGTGCTTTGGTTTTAACTATTGATAACCGTGAGTTGTGCAGATGTCTGTCCTGCAGTTCTTTTCTTTTTTCCTTTTTTTTACACCATGGAGACACGTTTTCTGCTAAACTTATCCCTTTGTCCTGCTGATCAGCTCAGGGATTCCCATGTTTTACCTGTACAGAATGTATCGATACAGGAGCTTCAGGCTCAGCTTGAGCAGGAGACGAGACTTCACCGAGAGGAGCAAGAAAAGTTTACAGAAAGGATCATCCAGGTAAATACGAAACCCGCCGGCTGGGAGAGATGTGTGACCATAACGTGTGGTGTGGACCTGATTTGTCAGGACCATGGGAACTTGTGCCCTCACAGCTGTGCCTGCTCGACCTCATCTGAGTAAATGAAGAATCTGGAAGTTGGGGAAATGTAAACTGGAGCCTATTTTACCACGTTGAATCTGTCTTTTCTGCTTGGTGGAGAGAAGCTTTGTCCTCCCCTGTGCGGGGGAAGTCGAGGTAGAGACATGAAAGACTGCGTGGGGAATTATATCAGCCCCTTCAGATCTCCGTGAGCTAGGGAAGGGTGCGTTTGATCTCTCAGACCGCAGTTTGGCTCTGTGCCTAATTCTGAACCCTCCTTGCCCAAAGAAAACCCAACACTTCTCTGAAGTCGGAGGAGTTTTTGCACGCTCATAACTGAGACACAAATCAGGACTTTTTTGTATTTCTCAGTACCCCATGCTTCCAACCTTCTTATTCATAACTGGTGAATAAATCATATTTTGTTACAGGGACTCCCCCTGCTCTTTTGAAGGCTGGAACATATTAGTCAATAGTTTTGTGATCTCTAGCTCCTAGAGCAAAGAGAAATCTGTTGCTAATTTTGGCAGGCTGTTTGGCTCTTAACTGAAGTTTTCTTTTTAAATTTACTTCATAGATTAAACTCAGCATAATTGTTGCATAGTGTAAAGCATTTTTCCTTGTGCCAGCTAATCTCATTATGCCCAAGTGATATCTCTCCATTTTCTCATAAGTAGCTTTAATTTCCAGTTGATCTCCGTAGGAGCTTTCCCATGGAGGCTTTTGAAGGCAACCAGTAAATTGATTTCCTTCCTAGCTGCCTTGGCCATGAAAGCTTTTTGGAAGCTATGCCTGCCTCTTAAAGTTCTTTTCTTTTGCAATAGCAATCCATTGAAAAAGCATAATACTCTATGAAGCTACCTCCAGGAGGGTCTTCTCCAAGCATTTGTGACCGTGGGGACTTAGATCATAACATCTTGTAAAAACAATGAAAAATTCAGCAAAATCAAAGCTAGCTATTCATGTTGACAGTCAGTAGAAACAGAAGAATGAAAGCTTCTTCTGGATTCTTCATTTTTTCCAGATTATGCCCATCCTGTTGATATTGTTCCTTTTTTTGTCATCTTCCAGGATTTCTGGTGGAAATGACTCAGATCTTTGCTGTATTTAACCATAACTTCATTTGGTGGAAGAACCTGCATCAACACAAAATCTATTTGTTTCTTCCTGTAAAAATCAAAAGAAGCCCCTTTTTTACTATTTCATTTGTAGTGATGTTTAACAACATGAAATTGATGTGTGCTAGCAGTGTACAATCTCCATGAGTGTTATTAGGTCCATTATAGCTAATTTTGTTCTAGACTACTTTTAAGCTGCATTTTAAACCCATGTAAGTGAGCAACTACAGTAAATAATTTTAGTTTAATTAGGAACTTTTTAAGGCATAGTAGCATAGATGCTGAAAATTTGCATTACGCCAGAGCATATGGTTTAAAGAGGAGGAAAGTCCTTCATAAACCATCTAGTATGGACCAATAGCCTGTGTCAGAAGCATCTGAATGTTGCAATGAAAATCAAGCATATACTTCTTAGCAGTATTAATTGCTAGGGGGCCCATGCTCCTGAAGAAGAATCTCTGAAGTATTCTTCATTCCTGTGTGACTGTTGTTTGTTGCAGGGTGTGTTCTTGCAGTTTAAATCATTGTGGTCGTTAGTGTACAGTGGCTTTCATAAATTTCATCTGTGGAGCTGGGCAGCAAAGGGAGAGGCTGTTGTTCAGCAGATTGGAAAACAGCAGAAACTGGCATCTGAAAGCAGTGGCTCTGTACTCATTTTCCATCTGCCTTTTCTTGATCGATGTGACCCACAGCTTGGCTGAAGTGGAAACACTGTCTTATCTATGCAGAATATGAAATGTTGTACAACTAACTGGTACAAGTGCTACTGGGCACAGGTCATGCCATGGTTTGATTTTGACATGTTGAGGGAGAAGTCACATTTAAATAATAATATTTCAGGTGGCCTTGTGTTGAAACAGATGTAATTATACATGTGCTCCAAAGAATGAGCTTTTCTTGGTACTTGTAGTACTGAAACTGAGACATGTTGAATGACCAGTTGCAACCTATTCCTGTCTCTTCAGTTGCTGCATGTGTCCTTGATCTAGTTATATCAGAATGAGAAACTCTTTACTGTGAGATGCCTCCAAGGGTGAACTGTGAGAAGTGAGGGACCACAGTGTCTGAGATACTGGACATGGTTCTTTCAGAAGCGTTGCCCTTCCAGAAGCAGAGGGAGACGTAGCCACAGAGGAAAGGATGAGTCTGTGGCGGGGTAGGGAAGAGGCAAGGATAATATTCCTGGTTGTCTGAAGGGCATCTGTGGTCCAACCTCATAGGAATGGCTGCAAATGCATTTAGCAGGTGTGACGTGCAGCTGTGTGGGGTGGTGGCTGTGCTGGGAACATACTGCAAGGACACAATGAAGAGAAGGAGGAAAATATGAGTGGTATAAAATGTTTGAGCAGCAGCAGAGGTCTTGTGCGTGTTTAAATGTCCACTTCCACAGCAGGTTACCTAGATATGGTTATCTAAGCAAAGCTTATCGCCTACTGTCCTCTAATTTCCTCAACAGTCATAACTGCTGAGGAACCTATTGAGCCAAACTCAGTAACTACTCACTACTGAAAATTAGAGATTCCAGTCTGTCTCACCCAACAAAGTACAAGTCCTGGAGACTGCCCCAGGACACTACCCCATTGACATGGTGTCTGTCGTTCCATTAAAGCTGGAGGAGGAGCATATGCAGACCCTGCGGAGGAAAGACTTGGAAGTGCAGAGCTTGACTTTGCAGAATAAACTGGAAGAGAAGACCTGGAGCCAGGAGAAAAGTCTGCTACAGCAAGAACTCAGGCATTTCAAGCAGGACACCTTTCTCCTGTACGTCAAACTGAAGTGGCTGCTGAAACATTGGCGGCAAGGCAAGCGAATGGAGGAGGAAGGGGAGGACATATTAGAGGTAACTGTCCCACCTTATTAACCCAATGAAGTTGCATGTGGTGGGGTACTGCGATGTCCCTTCTTTAAGTGCAGACTTTAAATACGATGTGGGGTCAGCAACTGTATAATTACACACAGATTTAAAGGGGATTCAAATTGAACATGAAGCCTTTTCGTAAGTTGGCTTATGCTACAGTATATTCTGCATGATATGTTACAGATCACGCATCTTTAAATCTAAACCTTAACTAGTACAAACATCTGGTCCTGAAAAACTGTCTCATTGTAAATGAAAATTTAATTTGGTCTCAAAGATATGACTCCTGAATAATTTTTGGAAAGAAAAAAAATGTTAGCGAGTTGATGGAGTCAAATCTGTCTAGATGGGTTGAGTGCTGTCGTTTTTCTCATCGTGTGCACAGTGTGTTCCTTACCAAGCCTTCAGCAATACAGATGGAGGGAAGCTCTGTTTTCATGTTGGCAAGAGAATTATACAGCTTCTTGTGGGAACTTACAGTGAATCACTCTTGTTTGTTCCTCTTCTCCATACACACGTCTATCACCGTCAGCAGCAGTACACCAGCAGTCATCATGGTGATTTTCCAAGTAGCAACTATATTCAGATCAGGAATTTCAGAAGTACATAACAACCTGGAATCCCGAAGCTGACACATCTCAGCAGGGGTGTGATTGCCAGCCAACATGCACTGTGAAGAAAGGTGCTGCTAAATTGTGTCAAGTTGCACACCCAGAATTACCATTTGCTCTGGAAATCTTACCTAAAGGAAAAATAAGTTAAAAAAAGTGTTTGCCCATTCTGACATTTTATACAAAATTCTTGAGAATAATAGATTTATTTTGCAGGTTCATGCAATTCTGAAACCATTTGCTAAGGCAACAAAGTAATTTTTCAGTATTGCTGATACTTATGTGCCTAGTGTTTTTCAGTGTTTGCTGCACTTGGCAGTACAAGTAACCTTTCAGGTCTGGTAGGAGTATGCTTAAGTTAAATACTCCAGTGTTTTCTATTGTTAGATAAAGGCTGGATGAACATCTTTACCTTCATCTGCTGTGGTGATATGAGTCAGAAACAAGACATGAGTAGCTATTTAGAAATAATTTGCTTTTACTTTACTTCAGCAGTACTAATTTGCTTCTGTGTAATCTAGTTCATCTTCTAATATCAAAATAACTTTCATTTTTTCACTGTTTGTATTTTTGGCTGGTTAATTTATAATCATTCCACCTCCAGTCATTATTGGAGTTGTGTGTTTTGCTAATGTATTACAAAGTATAAAGTGCTAGATTTGGCTAGTTCCTGACCTCCATATCTTTATCAAACAACACACTAGTGTCTTGTGTAGTTTTTCATTAATGTGTGGTGGATTATATCCATCATGTTACATTACACCCATCTTCTCAGCTGCATAGATCTCCTATTTTGCAGGCCTGCATAGTGTTGTGTTCACATATGCAGTACATCATGTATCACCCAAAGATCATTTCCAGTAGCCTACAGAATAGAACTCAGTATATCCCACCACAGAGATGCAGGAGAAGATAGTCCCTTCCCTTAGCGCTTCAATACATTCCTGTTCCCCTAGGTAAATGGCAAAGGAGTGTTGATGTGTCCCATCGCTTGCGTTTTAGATCGAGCACCCTGAGGCCCTCCCAGACTTTGGCATTCAGTCTGAGCAGAAGGCGGACGATGCAGAGCGAGAGGAGGAAGAAGAGGATGTTGTGTTTGCACTGACAGATTTCTCCCAGCGTCCCACCACGGAGAGCACTCATCATGGACCACAGCTGCAGACTGCAGAATTACTGCAGCAGCAGAAGCAGGTACTATACCATTTGTATATCATGCCGTGGGAATGGAAACCAGATTTTCCAAGAGAGTTCATTTTCTTCTGCTGCTGTGTTAAATTACCTAGAATCATACTTGTAAAAATACTTCTAGCTACACAGCAATTACAGTGGATTTCATCCATTATATTTATATTTAATCAGAAGCCACGTGATTAGTGTTCTGTTGGCAGATACTATCAGTGAAAAATCTTATTTCCTCTTGTGGCTGTTTGCCCAGAAACATCTATCAGTATGTGATGGTTTGCAGAATTTACATGCTCCTGTTGCCTGACTACATCTATTGTATTCTACTGTCAAGCTTTTAGCAAGAAGAGGTGATTTTATTTCCTTTAAATAATTTAAGCAACTAGCACGTGTATTTAATATTTCCCTTAGAGATGATGGGAAAACAATGCAAAAGTTCCTTCCCGTCACTGGGCTTGTTTTCAAATGCCTAAAAGCAAATCATGCTGACTTGTACCTGACATCTCCTGTGCTCTGCCTGTGTGTGTCAGAGCACTGCCATATATCCTAACTTTTTTATTTGTGCATTTAGCATACAGCAGTCCTAACAATAATAATAGCAAATATTCAAAGGGGACAGACTTAAGGCTTCCAACAGTTCTTCAGGAACATCTCCTTATATTTCTAAATTGAAAAATGTTCAGATGAGAGCATCGTATCATGTGGAATTATTTGCAATCATACATAGAATGGAGCAAGAATTCTGCATAAAGCACAAATTCAGTGAAAAAGATCCTGAAGCTTTATATCTTATGCCCTATCCGGGCTCTTGACATGGGAGCCTGTTCCACAGTGAGAGCTCTCAGACTAATATGTACTCTCTATGACCAAATTACTTTGCTGGACTTGCTGCAGGATCTGGGAATTGCGTGTGTCTTTGCATGTCAGTTCTTCGCCTTGAATCCCCCAGACTCTCATGACTATGTACAACCTGTTTGCTTATGATCTGTATGGTCTAATAGATATGCAGCAGGCAACTGTAAGTCTCTATCCTGTAATAAAGTTAGGCTGGTGCTGGGAAATGCACAGGCTGTTTTGCAACCTACCTGTCTAGTTCAAGATGTAACTTCAGTTGGATTTACTGTTTGAATAAAAATAGTAGATATCTGTGGTCTTTATGCTACTTCATATTCTGCTTTAAGTTTATATAGTCTTTTGCTTTCCTTTTTCATAGTGCTAGCTGAAAACTTCATTTTCTAGCTATAATTTTCTGTGAATTGTGCTACCTAGGTAGCATTCATTTGATCAGTTTGGCATTTGGAAAGGTTCTGCCATGCCAGTCACCCAGCTCCATCACTGTCATCCTCTCAGCAAGCTCTTCTCTGGTAGATGCTGAAGAAGACCATGGAGGAGATGCTCCTGAGCACATCATTTAACTGCATTCCATCTGTAGACTGATTTAATATAGAATGAGTAAAATAAATATAATCCAACATACTATCTCAGTACAAACTCTGTCATGTACTAACTTTCCATATAGATCTCTTAAAATGACCAAGAACATTCAAATAAATTGTGTCCTCTTTGAAATAAGCGTTGCTTAGGCATTGATCTCAATTAAGGTGGCAGAAATGGGAAGTAGGATTGCTTATAATTCATTTTTATATACATTGAGTGATGTTCTAATTCAGAAGTTCCAGCTAATCTTGCTTAAAGAAAAGACCCATAGGAACAGACCACTTCTCAGTACCCCTCTTGATAGTGGATAGTGCATGATATTCAGACAGACTTCTGAAGGTTAAATAGGTTTCTTGCCTTTCAACCGGGAAAAAAGTGTTATTTCAACACTGCAAGAATGAGTGAGTTTGCTAAATATTTCTGATTTTAAGCCCTATTACTTGTTTTGCCTGCTTACACTAGTGAATCTTCTAACAAGCACTGTGTTTATTGAAAGGCATGTAAAGAGGGTTTTCAGTGCTATGGGGCTTGTATTTGTCAATGGCAAGAAAGAATTATGATTATTCTCTGGCACAGAAATAGGAAGCCCTAGTGTAGGTTAATTCTGATGCTGTCATAGATTCAGGGCATCGGAAGTGTCTTCTGGAGGACCATGACAGAGGAGTAATTGCCTGCACCACCTCCTGCGCCCTCGAGGCTCTGCCAGAGCCTAGCTCTGCCCTCACACACCTTAGTATCAGTTGGGTCTGAATTGTCCCATCTCACTACGGTAGTTGGCTTGGTCATGCAAACCTCCTGTGTGCAGGACCTTTGCTGTGCTCACCAACCTCGCAGACCCTGGTCCTTGCTCTACACACATTACAGGCTTTCACCCATAAACATGAGCTCCACTTAGTTCATATATGATTCCAAAACACATTAACTAAACAAAAATAGAGCAAGACAACACTTTTCCTCTGTTGTCCCAGCTTTAAAAGCTCTGAGAGTATCAACAGACCCAGAGCACATCCTTCCTGAAGCGGTGGATCTCAGCAGTGCTCACCTCCCAGTATACCACTGAAAAACACCCAGGGTTTTGGGGTACTCTGCAGGTTACCTAAGACCACAGCTGGAAGAAAAGCACTGTTTATTGGGGAATTCGGGGTGAGTGGTGAAGCTGGAAGTCTCCAAGGTTTGCACCTGCACAGGAGAGCCCTAAGTTGTGGTTCTGCCTGGCAAGCTCTGAGATCAAATGCATCAGCATTTGTTTCACATTAGGAAGGAAATTTTGCAACAGTCTAGGAGTGGCTGAGGAGATAACTAGGTCAGAAAAAAGAAAGAGCTTATGGTAACTTCAAGGAACCCATATTTATTTTTAACATTTAATGTTAATATTTAATGGCTTATATTTTCAGCCTGCACTCTAGCTGATGACTTTCTTACCCTGCCTGGGAAGTGGAATTGTTTTGAGAAAAATTATAACCCCTGAGGCCTTAATGTCAACAAGCAGCCTCTAATTATATATTATTATGATCTGAGGTACTCGACTCGGTGGAAAGTACACATCTCACTTGTCTGGGGTATTTATGAGGCCAGTGTGTGGAGAGACGAAGGCATAGCAGAGGGGAAAGCGGAGAAAAAAGGTTAGCTGATGAGTGGCAGAGTAGATGGGGACTCTGAGAAGGGCCAGTTCATCTTTGTGTTCATGGTGTTGTCCCTTGGCTGGTAGCTGGGGCATACTGCAGAAGGGATCCGGCAAGGGACTGGCAAGGCTCAAGGACCAAGCGGCAAGCCTGGAGATAAGCAGGCAAGTTGGGCTGCTAGCACAGTGCAGGAGGGCTGGCTGCAAGTCAGTCTTTCTTTGTGTGTAGTAAGAGAATCAGGGAGAATAGCCTTTGGGAGAAGGAACAGCTTTGGTTCAGCCGAGTAGAAACAGGGAGATGCCTCTTGAATGGTGTAAGATCAGGGGAATAAGAAGAAAAGAGTTTACACGTCTGTGGTCCAGTGGAGAAAGCATTAAAAAACAATACACTCTTGTTGTTGATGAGGTAGTGCCAAGAAAACCCCCAATTAGATCTTTTTTTGCTCATACAATATTTGTTTTCAAAGCTTAGCTAAGAGAAAAGCCCAAAGGAATAATAATTAAGACCTAAACATACTAAAATGATTTGCACCAAGATCCAGCTTCACTTTTGCCTAGATCTGTGATTAGACGGAGAACATGCACAGTTCTCATTCACGGTTCAGGGTCCTGACCTTGTGTTTTTAATTGATTGCTCTACTAAACCGCTTGTAATAGCAGACTGTGGCGAAATTCTTCACTGAAATTCTCAGAGAAAAAAGAATTATGACTAAAAGCAGAAACAAGCTTCAAACAACTGCTCTGGTCCCAAACCTTTCTAGAGCTAGAGGGTCCCATCTCCAAGGTTGACTCAACTTAGTAAAGACTCCGAAGTTTTGGAATTTAATTGACATTTACTACATGAAGTTTTCACTTCTTGTCAGCCGTTGCTTCCTTTACCTATAAATCCTGAAAAGTGGATACAACAAGACTTTAAACTGCTTTTGTAATTCTCTTGTCTTAGATCAGTTGTGAATCTGTCCGACTCCTCCATGTTCTAAATTTCAGTAAGTGGTAAGGTACTAAAGAGCCCACTCCTTGCATGGGAGGCTGTCCAGGGAATCGCAGCCATGCCCTGTTTCTTCTGCCCGTTCAACACCCCTGGGAGGAAAGGGAAGACCATAACAATCCTTGTTATGTATCTGTGTGACTTATTCTTATGCAGAAGCTGTTGGCAGTACTGCCAACAGAAACCTAAAGCATGTCTAGGTGTAAATGTTGTATTTCAGAGCACATTGTCTCAAAAATACTTTGTCTGTTCTCCAAACTGTGGATAGTTAGGGCCTGGCGGTCGGAAGATGTCGTGCTGTACGGAAAGGTAGGCCCCCCCCTCCTCTCCTGATAACCAGTAGCGTTTAGCCCATAGGTGTAAGCAGACGGAAGTGACGCTGTAAACCTAAGCTATATAATACTGTGCTACCCATCAATAAACGCCATTTGCCGTCCACCACATTGGTGTCTGCGAGCTGATGGCCCGAGCGGCCGGGGGGTAGGTCGCCGTGCCGTTCCTGAACCAGGTCGCCACGCCAACAAAGGCAACACCAAACACACTACAGTTTGGCAAAACAGAAAAAATAATCTCACAGACCTCTCCAACTTCAGACTGTAAATAGAAAGTAATGCAAAAGAGACTTCTCTGCAGGAATTAAAAGTATGCAACCAAAATTGGATTTATCTTGGCAAGTTAATTAAAACCCCAGCAAGGCCAGGGGGCACCTGGGGTACTTGTCTCATAACAGCAACGTCGATGTAATGCATCTAGAAATAAGACATGCCCTCATCCCACTAGACTACAAACCTGCAATGAGGCTACTTTGGCTCCTCTCTGTACTAGTCCATCACTTCTTTCTTTGCAATCCTAATTTTACAGAACTCTAAAACTATCAAATGTGTGCACAGGAATGAGGGATGTAGCTTGCTTTAGTGTTGCTTGGCTTTATTTTTCTTCTGCCTCCTTTCCCTGTGGAGCCTTCAGACTGCTTTGCCAGGGAAAGGTTTATGCAACATACCAGAAAACACAGAACGTGGCTCTTGAATGAAAGCACTTCATAGACATTTGAGGTCAGGGTTTACAAAGAGGAACAGGCCAGATGCACTCAATACCCAGCAGCTCCTGTTGTGACACTAAGGGCAACTCTTCAAAAGAGCTCTTATTCTGAGTACTACACAAGGGGCTTGAGATGTTTGGAGAATTTAGCCTTAATTGGGTATTGGAACAAAAATTCATGGTGGAAACATAAAATCTCATTATATATTGAAAAGTAGGTGATCTGACATGCATGATGGAGGCTGTTGCTGTATAGTAGGAACCTGCTAATTGACATTAAATGTTAATGGAATTAATTCTGCTTCTGTGGGTGCGTTTCTTATAAAACCCCATGTTGTACACCATCACATTTCATTAGCCCAAACAGATTATAGGTCAGTCAAACCTAGCATATTTTGCTGATGAGCCAAATGGCTTGGAAAAAGTAGACCACATTTCTTTGCTTTTTAAAGAAAAAAGGCACCATGGTATGTCTGATTGGTGATCACAAAAGTGAGTGAGGTGGGTTCAGTGATGCCAAAAATCTGATGAGCATATGAAATCAGCTTAGTCGTCTGCATAAAATTTTATATGTATTGTCATTGAAAAAAGCACATGAAAATAATTTCGATTTTTGCATACATCTGTTTACTTGACCAGTCTGCAAAGAAGTCCCCACGTAGGTACTTCATGAAACACCAGATAAGAGGAATTGCAGGAAGACTCCACTTAGCAAAATAAATAAAAAATTAAATCAACTAGACTATCATGCAAAAATTGAGACAGCTAATTTGAGTTAGGCCTTCCCAAGAAAGCTAATGCATTCATGAGAACCAGGTGATTAAATGCTGAATTTGTTTAGTAAGCTTTCCCATTTTTCTGCTCATGCTGTGTCTGCTAATCAAGCATAATTTTCTTAAAAGTCTTTTTTATTCAAAATAACTTGTCAAATAAATCTCTGGTTACTCCTTGGTCTTTGCGAGGCTCATTGGGAATATTTGGTCTAAATTTTGGATAAATAAATTATGTTAACACATTTCTGTTTCCTAATTCAGTGACTGCAAAAAACAATGGGATACCTTTTGTTTTACTGAGCCAGAATGAATCTTTTAAAAAACATTCTTCAATATTTAATATCAAAATGACAGGTTTTGCAAATCTCTAGAGAATTTGCAGAAGATAAATACGAAAACTCAGAAAAAGAAATCAGACATTTGAATAAATATACATGCTACCTTTCAGTACTTGCCAAGATCAGATGTCAGCTCTGGACTAGGCTTTTAATTTGACTCGATTCAGGGCTCCTGGCTAGCGCAAAAGCACAGGCAACATTTTCAGTGTGGCCCTGACATTCTCAAGAAGATGTGGATGTGAATTTGCTCTTTGAGCCCAACTATGCTAGGGAAAGTGGCCTACCTGGCATTTGTGCCTTTGGTACCAAGCGGGGTGCTGCTGCAGAGCTAACCTGTGTGCAGCTGTCTGGGACTGAGGAGAGATACGAAGCACAGACTAGTGAAACACCTTAGCAGATATACTTAGCTCAAAATGTCACATTTTTTTCCAAAGTAGTTTTATCTGATAATACAAAAGCGTTGAAAATGAATCCTTTTTCTTTATACGTAGTTTACAAATGTTTGAGGTTTGATGCTGAGCAATGACTGTATGTATGAGATGTCCATCTACCCAACAAACCTCAGGAATGATACTGTAGCTTTGGTTCACAGTATTGAAAAAGAAGTCATTACAGATGTCCTCAATTCAGAAAGACGCTTAGTGCCTTTTTCAGTGTGACTTAAGTATCTTTGGCTTTCATGGGTGCTTCAGGACTAGGGCTAACAAGAAGTAGAATCATGGAATTGCAGAATCATAGAATCATGTAGGTTGGAAAAGACTCTTAAGATCATTGAGTCCAACTGTAGACCTAACATTGCCAAGTCCACCACTAAACCATGTCCCTAAGCACCATATCTACATGTCCTCTAAATACCTCCAGGGATGGTGACTGAACCGC